TTTTTTTCCACAATATTTTGTGGAGTTTCCTTGATGTTTTTAATGTTTATGTTAACTCTTGCTGGTGGTTTATGCTGTGCTTGGCTTACATTCTGTGTTAGTGCTGATATCCGGATATAGGGACCTAGCTCTATCGATTAGGCCAATTTAAGTAGGCTCCATCCAAGACGGAGACAGAATCCAGTCTCTGAAATGTTGTTTGTTTTAAATCAAAACATGACGATGGATAATGTCCAGAAAAACAACATTTGTATTAATATACCATCGTCAGAAATTATTAGATTTTATTTTTATTTTCTACTGAGCGACTGTAAGCTTTTCAAGGAGGTCCCTGTACCATGGACTTAGGCTTAATACTCGTATTTATATGGACTTGTAGAAATGAAAGTCAGCCTTGTGCAGTGTCACTTCGACAAAGGACTGACACTTATCCTTACCCTCGAAAAGAATAAAACTGATCTTAAACTGAAAGCAGTTTTCTGTAATGGGAGTGGCCAGTGCCTGAGAAGAGGTCGAGAAATGTAGACACTCGAACATGAACCCCTGACCAGTGTTAATCTGCAGTTGTACTCACCGCACCGTAAGCAGGTATGTCGCTGTAAACCCGGGTTCGAATTTCCAGCTTTCGAAAAGAAATACTCGGCGATTCTTTATCATTTTACATTAGCGTCACAAATATTTGCTCTTCAGTACAAGTTTCTTACGTGTTAGAGAGATATTTCAAAATAAATTCATAGTTACTTATTTATTAACTACGCTTTCAGTAGCTAGGCTACAAAGTGTGGAATTGTTGAATAATAGATTAATGATGATTGTAAATGATTTAGGCGGAAACGGTAGTGAAGTAATATATTTAATATTTCGGTTGAGTTTCGAACCTAGTACCTCCAAAATACGTACGAGCCCAGAATATTACGTTGTCCCAGTTCTAAATTAAGATTTCCTTAACACTCTGTACTCAAACACCCTCAGTCTATGTTCCTCCCCCAACGTCATAGACCAAGCTTCATACCCATACAGAACCAGAGGAAAAATTATAATTTTGTGTATTCTAATTTTCATGTTTTTAGACAGCAGACGAGAAGACAAAAGGTTCTGGACTGAATGGTAGCGAGCGTTACTTTATTTCAATCTACTCTTAATTTTTTCCTGAATCAGGTTTTGATTTGTTACAGTCGTTCCCAAATATCTGAACTATACCACATTTTCAAAACATCTGTTAGCTGTTTTTATGTCATGATTTTGCCCTGCATTCTGGTGACGAGACAGCAACATATACTTAGATTTCTCTGTGTTCACTACCTGTACCAAGTAGGTCGCGGTGCAAGGGCCGAGAAGGCCTCCCCCTCATAAATTCATACCATGAAATTAAAATGGAACTGCAGCCTAACGTTTCCTTCTGCATTGATATTTTTTTTCCTTGGCACTACAGCCCCAGTGGGCCTAGGCCTACCCCCATGAACTTCCCCGTTCACTTCGGTTTTTCTACATCTTACACATTCGGTAGGACTCCTTGGGCGGGTGATCAGCTCGTCGCAAGGCCTCTCTACCTGTGCACAAACACAGAAAAACTCTGCATTGATATAAAAGGGTGAAATTATTACGTAATTTCGGTTTATCATGACAACGAATTGTCAAGCGTTAACACGTTTGATGAATATAAATTATACTAGTTCACGAACGAGTCAGTAATATTTTGTTTCAGTGTATCGTGTCAATTTTGTGAATATTGATAATATCTTGATATGATATGTGAAGTGTAGTGTATTATTTTGTAAAATACATGGGACTGGAAATGAATGCTGGAGAAAGCAGATAAGTTAATCCGTCTTATGAAAGCTTATCCAACAATTATGGAAATTTACGTTGATTTCTCAACGGGTGTTTCACTAGAGTTACTTTAATCTACTTCCCCTATCTTCGCCATGAGTGAAAAATACACCCAAGAAAAAGAATCCAGGACCTAGCAAAGTCTTTTCTCTCTCACTCCTCTCTTTGGTAGAACAGAGGGGCTAAAATTTACCTTCAGTTGTTTAACATATTAAACGCATTTTTCTTCTTAAACATTGTTGAAAGTGAAGAAGTCATGATGATGCACGCCGAGTGGAAGGGTTTGCATTTAGAGTTTCATGATTAATTATTAAGGACATGCTAATGTAAGACACCTTAGCTCAGGTAGATTTCGTCTGTCCTTTCACGTGTGACACTGAATTATTTCTGCCATCTGTCAGATGTTTTACACGTACACTCTGTTCTCGTCAAAAAAGACCCTTGTATCGATATTCGTTTGGGAGTTTTGGATGCATTCTGGCCACAGCGGATGTAGCCTATGCTAGGATATTATCCGAGGACGAATAAATGAAGTGCTAATTTGGCGCGTCCTTAACAGACTAACGGTCTAAGTGACCGGTTTACTGCTTGACTAACTACACAGATGCACTAGTGAAATCTCTTTCTTTTGACGGGTTTCCTTAAAATAAATTTTCGTGAAACAGTGAAATTGTGTCTTTATTATGACAGTTGTGTATAGAAGAAGCTTTTAAGAGTCGAATTTTCCATTGTCATTACGCAATTTAAGGTTACTATAGCAACGAAATATCGAGCGTTAGCAATTTGCATAAACGTAAACATTTGAAAAGAAGAAAGCAGTCTTCTGGGATTTGGCACCGTGTATATGTGGTGTTAACCGACGTTTCGGAGGAACGTATCGCCCCCATCTTCAGGGTAGAAGAAAAAGTATAAGAAATCTGCAAGCGACAACACCGTGAGAAACGGTAAAGCAGACTGCTTTCTTCATAGTCACCGCCGTGAAAGCCTCAAATCTTACATTTGAAAAGAAGACATGCATCGTAACACACAACCGGAAGTAACACAGCCTGCCACCTAGAATATACATGCGCATTGAAGGAACTATATATTAACAACGTAAGCAACAACAGAAGACAGCAGTTTCTTCGTACATAATTTTAACACCTGATGATGACCCCATTGGTCGAGACATGTAGTGTAAAACTTTAAAGTTAATATCTTTTAAAAAAAGTTTTGTAGAACATTTGTGTTGCACGTGAGACTGTAGAACTAATTGATACTCAGTGAAAAGTGCAAGTGGTTGCTACAATACAATAGTTTAAGTTATGCAATAGGCCACGAACGAGCGAGCGATCCTCTGTTTCTGCATATCTTGTTTATTCTGTTATTATGGACGATATTTTAATTGGGTAATAGAAAGTGTAGTATGTTAGTATGCTATATACAAGTGAATATTTGTGCATGCTACTAGTGGGAGATAGCTTTAAACATCTGGCTCGACGAATCTTCTAGAAACTTGTAGGGCTGTAAAGGAATGTGGGAGGGGAGGGACGTTGTTAGTACGAAAGTGTACATGAAAATGATTAGATTACACGTTAACTTTCAACGAGTGTTACACATGTATAGGATAATTCATAAGTTTGTTACTTCTTACCGAAACCTCCGTTAAACCGTCAAAATTGTCTCAGTTTTGGCAAATTCCAAGACACAAAACGTTTTCTTATACCCTGTCTTCGCCATGTTTCGTCACTACTGTCCCCTAGCGGTGAAACCTGCAAGTACGCCATGTCGCCGATTACCCAAACAAACTTTGAGAGATTATCTACTGATGTACTCCATTCTGCTGTGTCTGTCTTGGCTGTTGCGCTGCCGAACTCTGGAGATCCGCAGGCACTTATGAATTATGTGTTTTGAACAGTTTTCTTACTTCCGTGGCCATGCACACTGATCTCTTTGCTTGCTGGAAATGATCTGTTTATGGCCTCCCAGCAAGCTGAAGTAGATAAAACTGGAGAGTTTGGAAGTATTTTGCAATGAGATAATTAAATTGCTTACTTATGCTTGCATTTAAAATTATCCTAACGTGTTACATGTAGGGGCACGCAGTAGCGTAGTTAGTTGAGGCACTATGCTACAAGCCTGAAGGCTGTGGGTTCGATTCCCGATGAATTCATTGAATTTTAAATTGTAATCCTTTCAGCCCCACTATGGCTCTGTGGTCGACTCAGCCTCTAACAGGAATGAGTACCAGGGATCTTCCTGGAGAGTTAAGGGCGGCCGGCGCGTAAGGCTCACAGCCTACAGCCATCTGTGAGCCGATTGTCTAGAAAATATGGGAGTCTCGACATCTCACAACCTCCACAGCCTGTTACAGGGACAGCTTTCCCTCTTTTTTACATCTTACACTTCTTCTGAGCACAAGAAGTTGTAATGTTTGTTGTGGTTCCCATGTCCTCAGGGATATGATATTAAGTTCCTGAGTGAGCTTCGTTTGAAGCGTTAAGTAGTGCTTGTTGGTAACTTTCCGCAAAGGCAACATGGAACGTGGTTAGATGTCTTAATTGTCTTGTGATATGGCGTGGAACGTTGGCGCAGTATGCATTCCATGCTTTATATTACTTTCTGCTCTCTGTGTTGGGGATGCGCTGGTGGAGATGTCGCTCAGTAGATTTCAACCCGATATTTAATAAAAGTTTGTTACACTTGATGGTCTTGTTTAATAATTAATATAAAGTGAAGCGGTCGAGATGCCTCTCCATAAGCTAGTTAACATTTGCAACTCCTTCTCTGAGTCTGAAGGCATCAATCAATGAACCCACTGGACTGCTTGCTACCTGACAGACGGGATTTGATTCCCAACAAAGGTATGAGGACCTGTTGTTGTTATCAATGTACCACGCTTTCTGCAGGACCGTTTTTATCTCCGCGATATATGTCTACATGTCAGATTGTATATGCATCAGGGTTTTATGGAACTTAACACTTCCTGAACAAAAAAAACTTTCTAATAGAAAGTACAGTGAAATTATGGCGTAAAACAGCAATGTTGTTAGCTTTTCTGCATGTGGCAGTGGAGAAGTATCAGTTATTTTTAATTCTGACCGGAAATTCTTCAGAACTCACTTTTAGCGTAGAGTATGAGAGACAGAAAACATTGCATCTTGACCCTGAGAGTGTTGCTTGCTTCGCAGGGAAGCCGTTCCCCGTCCGCAACTGCACGCTTTCCAACCAGACCAGCAGTTCGGTAGAAGTGAGCTGCCAGCCAGGGTTCGACGGCGGCTTGCCACAGTACTTCCTCCTAGAGTTGTATTCAGCAGATTCGGGGATGCCCCGGTACAACCTCACAAGCCCTGATCATCCAACCTTCTTCCTGGCCAACTTGGAGCCGGATGTGACGTTCCGAATAGCAGTGTTTGCTGTGAACTCCAAGGGACGCAGTCCGGGCATCGTTCTTGAAGAAGTGACGTTTAGGGACGCGGAAAAGAGAACAGGTAAGTGGGATCAGTAATGCGATATATCGATATGAAAACTGCATTGTTCTTTCTGCGAAGTCGAGGGTCGAAAGTTATGCAACAATGCAAGAATAAGGTTCGAAGAGATCCCGGCGTTTCGAAGCATTGTATTATCCGTCTTCATGGTCGACAAGAAACCCAAGCAAGAAGTTTTTTCAAACTTATTCAGCATTGTATCGTCTTGAAGTGTTGGAACACGTTGACTATGCATGGATATTCCGCCTCCTAGTTTTTTTATTGCTAGTGGGGTGGGACTGAGTCCCTTGTACTGCTAGTGGGGTGGGACTGAGTCCCTTTTACTGCTAGTGGGGTGGGACTGAGTCCCTTGTACTGCTAGTGGGGTGGACTGAGTCCCTTGTACTGCTAGTGGGGTGGGACTGAGTCC